ATATTTATTCAGTAATCCGACAGATTTTCTTACTTATTTTTAATGGATACCCATATCTGATTAGTTGCTTATTTTACAGAACGTCTACTCAAATATGGGTATCCAATAACAATGACGTTTAAAGGGATAAAATTCGACCGGATTAATAAATTATAAAGCCATCACTTCTTTAAAAATTGCTTTGTTTACGTTAGCGTACAAAACTGAACAGGTATATGGATTTAATGTACAAAGATTAAACTAATTTCTATACACTTTGGTCTTAGTTGCTTTCATTTTTAATTAAATTAATTAATTAGCATTTTTTATATCGAGAATATGGTCAGATTATATACGGTGCGCAACTAATGCGTTGAATGTGTTCTCTCGTAAAAGATCCCTTTTGTGTTCACATAATCTTTTATTTCAATCCCTCGAGGTTTCACCTATGTTTTCTTTGTTGCAATCATTGCGGGTGATAGAGTAAATTCCTCCTTGAACCCTTTAGCTTCTTATTATTTTGTTTTGTATTAATCAAGTTTTTCTTTATTGTTTTCGAAATAGCTATAACAAATGATATGTATAAGCTTAGATAAATTCTTTTCAAAATTATTCATCCTGATCTAGCGTTTCACCGTAAGGTTACCTCCCTTTGCTTTTTCTATAAATACTTTTCCGACAAGGTTCGAACCTATATAACTCTTGGCAGGGGAACACGTTGTTAGATCCGATGTGCTATATTTAGAGCGTCTTATCCAAGTGCGTCGATGATGAAGCAAATTTGAATAGTGCCTTTATATATATATATATATATATATATATATATATATATATATTAATGCATGTTTCATTAAATAATATAGACAAGTTTTGTCTAATTATTTTAAGTAAGTTCCTTTCATATTGTCTGATAAGCTTAATCACATTATCGTTATAAGACGAAAGGAAATCACCATATTGATACATGTTTTAATCCTATCTAAGCTTTCGGCTTACACAAGGCATTATCAAGGATGACAATTCCAATAAATCAAACAACACACGGACGAAACAACAATGATAGTCCGCCCTTGCTGCATGAAAAATTTCAAAGTAACGACAAACTCGTACATACGAGACGCGGAAACAAAAGACTCTGAAATCCGAAGGATTGTCAATAAATTGGAAAACGAACCCAATTTAACATTGCAAGAGTGACATAAAGTGAAGAAGGAAAACAAAAAAACATCACTTCTAACCACTGTTACACTTGTGTAGAATTACATTGATATAAGGATTGTCCTTACAAAAACAAACAACGTTTTATATGTGGAAGAAAAGGATATACAAAACCCAATTTGTAGCAAAATTAAAAAAAAAAAAAACGAGCGAGTAATTATATTAAAATTACTCCTGAAAAAAATTTGTGCAGGTAAAAATTCCAAGCAAAAACATCAGATGGCAACTCAATAGTGGTTCTGATTTGAGTATGATAAATGTTTATACCTGGAGAAAATTAGGTAAACCATTACCATCCTGCTACCATTTTCTTATCAATGTTGAATTTTGTGCAAATCTGTGCAAAAAGTGGATCACAAAGCTTACCCAGCTTCATACATACAGGGTGTCCATAAAGTTCAAAAAAAAAAAAATTTATAACTTTATTTGTATTTGCGATAGAAATAATTTGTAAAAAGGATTAAAAAGAAGTAAATCTATATTTTTTAAGGTTTTATTGAAATTTTATTTAAGTTTCCACATGTCCTCCATCATTAGCAACACAAAGGGTAATACGATTTTGCAGTTCACGGGAAACATTTATTGTCCTAATCTGAATATGTTTTCATAGCGCCCGCCCGCAAAGAGGTCGAGACGCGATCTCTTTTTTACAACTATATTTTGTAGCGAAAGAAATCAAGGAAGAGAGAGAAGTAATTCGTGTCTAATATTTTTATAAACAACGTAATCACGTGACAGGCTAGAAAAAGACATTGACAGATGTTGGCGGAATTATTTTTTTTTGTCAGGTCAAGAACTAGGTCGATGTTATTCGGACATGATTTAAATATTAAGTGACCAATCAGAAGTTAAGATTTTTTTTAAATACAGGGCGTCCATAAAGTTCGTGTGAACATTTAAAAAATGTATAACTTTATTTGTATTTGCGTTAGAAATAATCTGCAAAAAATGTTATAAAGTTTCATGTGCCTAGTTTTACGTAGAGCTAAAATAACTAATGTGATTTCAGGCATTACTGTAAATCAGTTGGCAAATGTTTTCCATGAACTTCAAAATCGTATTTTTCAGAAGAATTCAGGACTGATTCGGACTGAAGTCTGAATTCTTTACGTTGTAATAAATATGGCGACAAAGATGAGGACAATAGTCCGAATAATGTAAATAGTGTACATAATACCTCATCTCAGAAATATAGACAGATACTGAAAGGCCGAAACGTTGTAATAAATATGGCGACAAAGATGATGACAATAGTTCGAATAATGTAAATAGTGTACATAATACCTCATCTCAGAAATATAGACAGATAGTGAAAGGCCGAAACGTTGTAATAAATATGGCGTCAAAGATGAGGACAATAGTCCGAATAATGTGAATGATATAACGCCAGACTAGCTCTTTATCGTAATCCCAAGAAAGAAAAAATCGTAGCAAGTGACGCCAATAGTACGATATGAGAGCCAGCATTATGCATAAACTAGAAGACTGTTCGATTAACCCGATTGCACACGCATCAAGGACGCTTCTAAAGGCCGAGAAAAACTACTCCGTGATTGAAAAGTAAAGATCATGGATTGTCTTTGCTCTGAAAAAAATTCATAGATTCGTTCACGCGAAAAGGTTTACTCTACAGACAGATCACAAACCGTTGATAGCTATTTATGGTTCCAAAAAATGGATTACCGTTTCAAACATTTAATAGGTTTACAACCTCGGGGAACCATTTTATTAAATTACGACTTTAAAATGGAATTCTTACCATCATGTAAATTAAGTCACGGACACGGGTTACCCAGACTTATTCCAAAGAATAATGAACCTTCTGCTTCTCTACAATCCGACGATGCAATACCGGGAACTACCTGTGACGTTAGAAGATATAAAATATAAAGCGTGTGAGGATAAAATTATTACTGAAATGAAGAAAAAAGTAGACAGGACTAAAGCAGGTTCGGAAGTATACTCAATGTGCGATGATATTCTCATGTATAGCGAAAGAGTCGTGGTACCTTTGGCACTACAAAAGGGTACCCTGAAAGAATTTCATACAGGATATCCTGGTATATCCCGAATGAAAAGATTGATGAGTGGTGACGTATACTGGCGTAGCACGGATAGAGACATTGAATGCCTGGTGAAATCATGCAAAGGCTGTGCTTTGGCGGCTAAAGCACCACTAATTAAGATCAACTGACCGTTCAGGGTCACGTCTTCATGTTGACTTTTCTGCTCCACTTAATGGGGCGGATTATCTGATTGTTGTAGAGAGTTTTTCAAAGAGGCCAGAGATATTCAGATGTAACAAACCAACCACGCAAGTAGTAATTCAGTTTCTACACGAACCGTCCTGGGTATGACGATAAACTACATCCGCGTCCTGGGTAAGATGATAAACTACATCCGCGTCCTGGGTATGACGATACACTACATCCGCGTCCAGGGTAAGACGATACACTACATCCGCGTCCTGCGTAAGACGATACACTACATCCGCGTCCTGGGTAAGACGATACACTACATCCGCGTCCAGGGTAAGACGGTAAACTACATCCGCGTCCTGGGTATGACAATAAACAACATCTGCGTCCGGGGTAAGACGATAAGCTACATCCGCGTCCTGGGTATGACGATAAACTGCATCCGCGTCCTGGGTAAGACGATAAACTACATCCGCGTCCTGGGTATGACGATACACTACATCCGCTTCCTGGGTAAGATGATAAACTACATCCGCGTCCTGCGTAAGACGATACACTACATCCGCGTCCTGGGTATGACGATAAACTACATCCGCGTTCTTGGTATGACGATAAACTACATCCGCGTTCTGGGTAAGACTATAAACTACATCCGCGTCTTGCGTATGACGATAAACTACATCCGCGTTCTGGGTATGACGATAAACTACATCCGCGTCCTGGGTATGACGATAAACTACATCCGCGTCCTGGGTAAGACGATAATCTACGTCCAACAGCAAGGCGTCTGATAATACGTTTTTGAAAAAAATAAAGTTGCCAAGTATACATTTTTGAGAAAAAAATATTAACAGAAATAGATTTTTGACAAAACAAAGCTATTACCAGCAAAAAAAAAATGTTATCGGCATTAAATGACCCATTGAGGTTGATATGCCGTAAAACAAAACAAACCAAATCTACACGAACTGTTCACAAGGTTCGGACTACCAGATTCAATTGTATCGGATAACGGCACCCAATATACATCGAAAGAATTTAAGGAATTTTGCAAAATGTTAGTGGTAGAGCACATAACAATTGCCCCTTACCATCCTAGAAGAAACGTCCAGGCAGAGCGTTTTGTAGATAGCTTCAAAAGGGCTCTAAAGAAGCCAACGGTGGATCAATAGCTACTGCATTACAGCAATTTTTGTAGGTGCATATGCTTATACCGTATAGATATGCGCTCTCAATCATGATTCCGGCGGAAATTATGTTTGCGCGAAAAAAAAAACGATCAGTTTTTGATAAAACTTATAACCAATAAGAAAATAAACATGGATATGCGGTACAGAAACCTGAAAAAAAAATTATAAAATTGGTCAAAAGTTGTTTTTTTTTTTACCGTCTGTACCAGTCAAATAAAACATACTGAGAAATCGGAACTGTCGTCCGAAGAATTGGCAGGATGGTGTAGTCTGGTAAAAGATCTTGAAAGCGTGCACAAGAAGTACTATAATCAAATTTATCAAACGGAGGTATCCATCTGAAGAGAACACTAATATTTAATATTTTGAGATGTTGGGTTTAAGGAAAATTTCATCCTTTTTATTTTATTTTTTATTTTAGGGGTGTTAAGATTTAAGTTATTTAGAAAGCTTATGTATTGTAGCACTTAATTTAAGTCAAGATGGTGGCTGGTGTAACTGTCTATTGATACAAACTTCCTTTTTTTTTCAAGTAGAAATTTCTGGTAGTGTCTATGTTCCGACGCGTCGTCTGGCTTTCAATAGGAATACATTTGGCATTTTAATTTTTAATTTTTTTTTATTTAAGTTTTATATTTATAAATTTCAATGACGATTTTTTTCAAAAGAGGCATTCAAATAACATTTAGTCACAAATTTTTACATTTATATATATATTATATTTTTATTCGTATTGACTTAAGACTTTTTCAATTTATTTACTAATTGAGTACTAATTGAGAATTTATTTACATATATTTAGTGCATATATGTAAAATTAATGATAGAATATAATTAAGCATTTATAAACATTTTCATGCAAATATAAATATGTTTTTTTCATTTCAAAAATGGGCGTTGTCATAGACTCTGTCGTACCTACACGTCCGTCTGTATTTATGACGGACACCAGCGAATCATATTCCAGTGAGGGGTGGACTTGGGTATATGCATATTCCCTTATAACATACTATTATGTAAGTACTGAGAATATCAAGAAACATAATGCTAGAATCACGAAGAGATACTTATACTAAAATTACTTCTTCTATTTATCCGCTTACTGATGGACATATATATATATATATATATATATATATATATATATATATATATATATATATATGGCCCGGCGTTGCCCGTGCTTGATTCAAAAATCGTACGACTCATACAGCAATCGCTATCCCTTGACTTAAAATATTTTTGCCCTTCCTTGCCTTTAAAGGAGTGTCCTTTGCCGTGCTGATGTTGCTACATGCCTTACTTCTTGCCTATCTCACACTGCGAATTTTTTTCTAAGCTCTATACTAAACATTAAATCTGTTACGAAAAAAGAACTAAACAAAATGAACACAAAACGATAAAAAAAAAGGACTCGTAACTGGAAAAACCGAATGAAAAAAGAATGTTAACAACAAATACTTTTTCACACCCAACCCAGTTCTGCGGAATCAGAATCAACGTTGAGTTTAAGCAAGCGAATGAGCCAATTGGAGTAAAGTGCCATGCAGATTTAAATTTTTCCCACTTGTGACGAATGCAGCTATCGGTTTTTTTTTTTGCATGCTAGCATGCTAGTTAAC